AAAAAATCCCAAATTTCCACCGGGAATAAAAGAGTGATTTTAAATCGGTTTTTTGGGGTATTTTTGGGATATTTTTGGGTTATTTTTGGGGTGATTTTGGGATATTTTTGGGGTATTTTTGGGTTATTTTGGGGGTATTTTTGGGGTATTTTTGGGATATTTTTGGGGTGATTTCAGTTCGATTTTTGAGTATTTTTGGGGTGATTTTACATCAGTTTTTTGGGCTGTTTTTGGAATATTTTTGGGTATTTTTGGGGCGGTTTCGGGGTTGTTTTTGGGGTATTTTTAAGATATTTTTGGGGTGATTTTGGGGCTGTCGTTGGGTGTTTTTTTTATATTTTTGGGGTGTTTTTTGGATATTTTGGGGCGATTTCGGGGCTGGTTTTGGGGTGTTTTTGGATATTTTCGGGACTGTTTTGGGGGTATTTTTTGGATATTTTCTGGGTGATTTGGGGACTGTTTTTGGGGTATTTTTGGGTGTTTTTTGGATGTTTTCGGGGCGGTTTCGGGGCTGTTTTTGGGGTGGTTTTTGGATATTTTTGGGGTGATTTTGGGGCTGTTTTTGGGTGTTTTTTGGATATTTTCGGGGCGGTTTAGGGGCTGTTTTTTGAGTATTTTTTGGATATTTCCGGGGCTGTTTTTTGGATGTTTTCGGGGCTGTTTTTGGGGTATTTTTTGGATATTTTTTGGGTGATTTTGGGGCTGTTTTTGGGGTATTTTTGGGGGTGTTTTTTGGATGTTTTCGGGGCGGTTTCGGGGCTGTTTTTGGGGTGATTTGGGGGCTGTTTTTGGGTGTTTTTGGGGTATTTTTTGGATATTCTCGGGGCTGGTTTTGGGTATTTTTTTGATATTTTCGGGGCGGTTTAGGGGCTGTTTTTTGGGTATTTTTTGGATGTTTTCGGGGCTGTTTTTGGGGTGATTTTGGGGTGTTTTTGGATATTTTCGGGGCGGTTTCGGGGCTGTTTTTGGGGTGATTTGGGGGCTGTTTTTTGGGTGTTTTTTGGATGTTTTCGGGGCGGTTTCGGGGCTGTTTTTGGGGTGATTTTGGGGCTGGTTTTGGGGTATTTTTGGGGTGTTTTTTGGATGTTTTCGGGGCTCACCAGGCGGGACAGCGCCAGCGGGGGGCGGTTGGAGCGGCTCATGAAAAGGCGCTTGAGAACCACGCGGTTGA